ATATGGTATATATGTATATAATGGCATTCTAGAAAAATCAAAACTATGTACATGGAATCCTGAAAGGTTTCGTAAGCGACAAAACTTTATCAAAATTATGAAGCGGTTCAAAGCTGCAAGACTACGTGGAAAATACGTGTGGACAATACACATATGTAGATTTTTACATTTTGTGTAGTACTTGAACCACCGGAACTCGACTGTCGACCCAGAATAGATAAAATGCATCTCATCAAACAACATTGAAAGAAATTAATATGGCATCCGTCATTGCAATTTCTATACATACCTAAGCTGCTCATACATACCTAAGCTGCTCTTCCTTGGGCGATTCGAATATATCGCTCTCGTCCAGGAGCTTCAATAACGACTTAGTCTGCTTGAGATCACTTACAGTTGGGGGTTCAACAGATATCGGTTCCGTGATGCCAAATTGCTCGGCATGTCCCGGTTCACTGTATAGAGTATGACGCAATCAGAACATCGATCTTCTGCCTAGCTGCCATAAGGCGTTCGATCATTTGCTGGCTCGCACACGAAGTCAAACGCCCCACGTTAATGGTTTCTATACATTGCTTAGAAATGCTTGATACTGGCACCGTGGTATAGAACAAGGTTGCGTCTTGGTTCGTTAGCTGCGCGCTCTGTTGCATGGCGACCAGGCGGTAGAATAATGCGTACGGGAGTCATAAAGTACACAAACGGGTAAAAGTAATACAAGCATCTAAATGACGATGCATGCGTACTGATAGATTTGCGAGCTATGAGTAAAGTCTGATGCTGCAATTGGAAAATTCTCATTCTTTCCACGCACCTATGATGTATAATACAGCTCCCATGATGCCGAATTATAACCAGGACACTCTTCAAGGATTTCGAGGAAAAAAAAGCTTATATGGAGTATATATTGCATATGTATGAAAGTACATACGCAAAGGATTTTAAGAACTTGATATATACTCGTGTACAAATAAGTTTACAATCGTATTCAAATATGTATATGAACACGACCAGCAGACATGTGAACCTACATCTATATAAATATACATGCGTTCACACACACACTCACACAAACAAACACACACACACACACACACACATATATATATATATATATATATATATCGAATAGTATACAACATGTACATACATGTACTGTAC